GGCCCACCCAAACCCCTTCACTCGCCCCTCCCGCGCTTTCCATCCCACACGTCCCGCTGCATTCATGCCGGCCCAGAGCATGCAACGACCAATATTGCTGTCCGCGATTTGACCGGACGGGAGGACGACGCAGACAACGCGACCTCTCACTGCCGGCATTGAACCGGCGCGCCGGTCGAGAGAGCGCCGCCCGCCGCTCGGCCGACTGAACATGCCTCCACGCCACATTCAAACGGTTGCAGACTACTCGCCTTCCTCCATTAAACCCGCACGTGTGACGAGGAACCTACTCCGGCCACACGTCCTGCCGGCGGAGGTTAGCGACGATGCGGCTTCCAGCACGTTCGCGTCCGCCGCTGAGGTCATCAAGGAGTTGTAGAACATGGGATGCCACCGCCGCTTGGGTCCAATGAAGGCCACTGTCGAGGTGAAGCCGGCGTACACAGTCGGTGTGTAGCCTGGTCGCAGGCCATCGTCGTCCCCTTCCCCTCTGGCTAAAGCACATCGCGGGGGTTCCACTCCAATGAGCAGCGCTGCCACCGTCAGCCCCCGCCTGGGCTTCACGGATGCGAAGCCCCCGACCCTCTCCGGCTGAAGCACCCCCTTTACCACTCTGATGAGCGGCGCAGCCGGACATAGGGAAGATACGGGGAAAGAATATACCTCCGGGGCTGCCGGACATGGGGAAGACAAGGGATCCGTCACGGCCGGCCGTAGACTAGTGCAGTGTCTATGTGTCGTGAGAATGGAGCTCCGCACGACTGGACATGCACATAGTTTTAGCTATTTTAGTTAAAATATGTTCAAAATGTAATGAATTTCGTCCGGTTTATATGAAATCCGCTGTGTTTGCATGAATTTTGTCTGGTTTATTGAAAAAGTGTTTGCAATGTATGCGGGCAATGTTGGTATGACGTTCTCCCGCATCCGTGTCGGCGGACTGGTCCCCTATCCGTGGACGAATGCGGGGGAAAATTTACGGGGTTGACATTGGAGATGCCCTAATGGAAGTAGCAAAGAACGAACCGATGAACATTCCGATGTTTAACGCGATAAGAATTTCTTTGTACACTCAACAGAACAATAAGGACCGCAGACTCCTTTGAACCAGAGTCTGCCTTCAACAAAGAGTCTCCAGTCCGGAGCACAAACATTAAGAAAACAGAACATAATACATGCTAGTACATGCTAAGCTGCATCCTAATTTGAATTAGCTGGGTTGCAATTGTATTATCAGGAGAAACACCCAAATCAATTAAGCAGTGTTAGTGACAAAAAAGGCAAATAATACACATTTTGCGTGACGAACATGAGATGTATGTATACTTTTATGCCAAGCAAAACAGCCGCACTGATGTATATGCATGGCAGTAAGGTTAGAACTTTTCAAGCAAGATGCAAACTGATCCTTCACACATACACAAACACAACAAAGGGGAGAAACAAATACTCCCTCTGTCCCATAATATAAGACAGCAGTGTAAAAAATGCTCTTATATTATGGGACGTGGGGAGTAGCTAGCAGCCAGGAATCAAATTCGACAGTTCTCCCAGCATTAATTATATTACAAATCAGATGCCACCATCGCGTCGGGAGGCAGCAGTTTTGGAACGCCCTTCATACTTTCTTGCGATGCCAAAAGCTTGTCAGGAGATTGATGCCGGACCGAATCTTGATTCCCACTTCCTGCATAGCTACCGGGTCCAAAGGAGGCCAAACACAAGCAGCGTCAGTACGTAGCAGAACATCGGTCAGACGCATAATGGGAAAACAGGACATGAAAGAGAGATTATAGTCTTACGTGCTAGGCCTTCGATTGTTTTCCTGGGGATGTGCTCAATCTTTTGCCAGTTTGGATGCCCGAATATTTGACAAGACTTCATAAACCCATCATTGCACCACTCAACAGAAAACTCCTCAAGAGACTGGGGCAGTGTTGGAAGCGACCGGATTTCGGAGCACCACTCGATCTCCAGTTTCTTGAGTGATGTGAGGTGCTCCATATTGCCTGGTAAGGCGTCCCAATTACAGTATGCAAGCTTGAGCACACGCAGATGAGGGAAAGCCTCAGGAGCATGCTCTAGTTGGGAGCAACTCCAGAACAAAAGTTCTTGCAGCTCCTTTGGGCCACCGTCCGGCTTACCAACCATCCAATCTGGGTACCTCGAGCCATTGTAGCAATGCAGTTCCAGTGTTTGAAGCGCCACGGGAGGGCACAGGCCCTCAAGTACCTCTGCTTGGACTTCTGGCGAACTGTGCCTCCACTGCAGTTTCAGTTCGCTGAGCCGTTCCTTGGCAGCTAGTTTGGATTCAAGAGCTTCCTCCTTGCTTTTAACAATTTCAAGACCATTTATCTCCAGACTGCCGCGAAGCTTGTTTAGGTCCCTCAGCTGCTTTACCTCATATCCTGGTGCATCCCTTATTCTGAAGGCACATGCTATCGTTTGGAGTGAGGTCAGCCTGCTTATGTTACGAAATGGGAACTGCGATGAGCCAGAATTTATGTGGCGCAGGTTGATAAGGTCAACACAGTTAAACTCATCCAATTTGCCATCACCAAAATCTAGCACCTGGACACGGTGATGTTTATTTGGTGCTCTTGGTATGCTTAACATGCATGCTCTATTTGTCCTGAAAGCAAGATAGCGTAGGTGCTTTAACTGGGTAATGGATCCTGGGACAGACAACTCATTTGGTTCCATCCCCGGATAACGTTCTAGGATGAAAGGAATGGCCAGTACCCGCAATTTCGGCAGTCTCTTGCATATACTCTCGATCACTCTTTCCTCAACTGGTGCTGCGTCAACTTTATAAACAATGAGAGTGAGCAAATTTTCCAATCCAAGGATCTTCTCAGTAATCAATTTGCCATCATAATAACGAATTAAAAGATGCTGGATATCTCGACGGATATCTCCTTCCCAGCCATCTCCTCTATGGCCATTCTCGATTCTGAAGCAATCTCCAGAAACTTTGTCGAATAAATCAAGCAGGGCATCATGAATTGTGAAGCAACCGGTATCATAACTACTTTCTTCTGGTTGCAGAAATGAGCGCGACACTAACTCTTGAAAGTAGCCCTCAGCTACTTCTTCCATGTCTTCTGTTGCACAACTGATCTTGACAAACCCTTGCGCTATCCACAGGTGAACTAACTCGACCATTCTCAACTTGGATCCTCTGGGAAAAATACTGCAATATTCAAAGCATCGCTTGATGTCTGGATCAAGACTATGTATGGTCTCATTGAACATGTCAAGGTTTGCCATATTTCTCCAAAAACTGTCATATTTGTTTGTCCCTGCCACTGTAACTACAGTGGCATTCTCCTGCAAGGAGTAAAATTTCAAGTGAGTATGCCAGTCAAGTGTCTATTCTATCGTTCAGACACAGATATACTTATCTGGAATTTATCAATATTATCAATAGTTACAGGTTCTTTCAGATGAGAACTCACCTCTGAGCTTGATTCTCTTGGCGTGTTAGGTGCATCTTGATGCAGTTTATTCAGAACATCTCCGACCTGTTCAAGTAACCAATTAAGGACACTTAACATCGTCTGGTGGCTTAGAGCAACAAAAATGCAAGTGGAGATGTACAACAACTGCTCAAGACTAAGTTTGATGGGTGGATGTCATGGATGTTGCGGGATTGATCTTACCTGTTGTGAAGTAATCATGCCTGTTTTGATATATCCGCCCATACTTTCGGTTTCATCGAGTCTACTAATTATATGTAGTGTATCTGGTCTCTTCGCCGGGTCAAAGTTTGTGCACTCTATTCCTATCTGAGCACATACTCGTATTTGTTTCTTCTGTACCTCGCTCTGTGATTGCTCCAACATGTTACTCCAACTTTCAACTACCTACGAGTTGAATTTGTGAATTATGAAAAGAAGCCCCATCTTTTAAAATGTGAAACTAGCCATGTATAGATGCATTGTGTTAACATCTTACATCAAAATACATCAATCAAAACTTCAAACAAAATAAAAATTCCATAAAAAATAAATGAGAATGCACGCCTAGTTTCTTCTCAGGTACCAGAAGAAACCATGTATCAGTTCAATCAAGAAAAATTATGCACCAAAACTGAGGTATGAGATAACTTGGACATGGGTAATGAGAATGGACGCGTATTTTCTTTCGTTGTCACATATAGGGCCATGTAAATTTACATTTCCTCATTCATCGAAAGTTCAAAACAAACATGTATAGAAGTTTTTGTTTTGTTTTGAAAAGTATTCATCCAATATATGTTTTTATGCCTTCTATTTTCACTTTCAATATTTTTTGGGTACAGCTGGTGTCTCGTAAGGACATTCTCAGTTTTGTTCTATTTGTAGATCTTGGTGTTATTCTGATGCTTGGAAGGTCAAAATACTTCTGTAACCAAGTTTTGCTTTCTATCATTCGATGTGTTACCAATAATTATAGTAGGCAACATTAACATTGAAAGGTAGATTCGGTCATGCACCATTTATTTCATACAGATCACATGTTGAATTGAACCATGATTTTGAAGGTGTTCCATATTGTACTAATGTTTACAGTTAAATCATGATCTTAATCTGGTTTAACTGCTGATTTGTGGGATTTGGAAGTGCTAAATATCGGTGAAACATGAGAATACTTCAAACGCAGTTACACACGTCTTTCTTTTCCATATATATTGGTTGAACCCCCTCTTGTTCAAATGTGGTTAGTTGTGGACGGAAGCCTTTGACCGACCAGAGGTTCAAATCCAAAATTTCATACTTACATATCATAGGATCTCTAAATCTTTCAGTCATGGTGGATTTTATAGTGATATTATTATACATACAAAAGAGAAATAAGTAATGCATTGGTTCTGAAGTACAACCTTTTATTTCAAAAGAAGACCTAGATTATTCTTACCTTGTCAACATCGTGATACCCCTTATTTCCAGTGAGTATCTCTATGATTACTATACCAAGACTGTAGATATCAAGCCGGTACGAATGCGACTTTAGTATGGTTATAAGATTCTGGTGCCAAATATCCGCTGCATACATATACGCCCGTGTGATTGGTTAATGAGCAAAGTAACAAAATATTGGTGTGAATAATAGTAGAATACTGAACTTTTGAAAGGGTTAGCAAACTTACGGCGTTCCAGCTATTTTAGTAATAACTTGGCTTTGCATTTCATGAAAGCACCTTGATATGCCGAAATCGGTAATTTTTGGTACCCAATTATCATCCAACAATATATTTGCGGGCTTTAGATCTAAGTGGACAATATGTTTATGATGAAGATAATGTAACCCTTGACAAATTCCCGTGATAATCTGATAGCGGTCTCTCCACCGAAGTCCACAAGACATATCTATGGGGAGAGGATAAAGCAAGTTTAGTATTATTTGACATACTCCAAGTGTGTAATATTAGAATGTATAGAAAGGGTGGGTACTAAATGTGGGATACTGAATCACATGGTCTTTAGAACTGAAAAGAAAATTTGGGTGCCACATGATCTTACCAGTGATATACTCATGAAGACTCCCTTTAGGAAGATACTCGAAACATAGCAACCTTTGCTGGACATCTGCCATGACGAATTTTCCTTCATACCTTGCCATATTCCCTTGTGTGTCAGCACAATATCCTAGAAACCGTACTACATTTTTGTGCTTCGCTATCATGAGACATTCAACTTCTCGCTGGAACTCCTTCTCGTACATATACGTATTCGACATTCTCTTCACGGCCACGGTTCTATTCTCAAGCATTCCCTGCAGTGAGCATTGTCAGCAACCACTTCGGTTGTCAGATGATCTTTGATCAAGACTGGGGTAGCTGAGAGTTACTGTACCTTATAAACCACCGCGAATCCACCTCTACCAATTGCCTGCTTATCAGAGAAATCATGTGTGATTTTTTTCAGAAGCGATAGCGGCAAGGCCTTCGGCTCTGCTGTTTCATCACATAGCATGCACTCCAGGTCCCATGGTGTAATAACAGATTGGTGATCCATTTACGATAACAATGCACAGTAACCTGAAAATAGAAGAAGTGCATCATTTGTGAGGCTACTAGGCGCAGCTACACCAATTACGAAAGTTACTGTAGATAATCATGAAAGGCGTAAATAATACTCCCTCTATCCCAAAATAAGTGTCGCTGACTTGGTACAATTTTGCACTAAAGTTGTACTAAATCAGCGACCCTTATTTTGCACTAAAGTTGTACTCCCTCCGTCCCATAATGTAAGACGTTTTTTGCAACTACACTAGTGGCAAAAAACGTCTAGTGGCGAAAACGTCTTACATTATGGGACGGAGGGAGTACTAAATTAGCGACCCTTATTTTGGGATCGAGGAAGTACACAACGATAAGATACTCTGCAGTTCTTTGCAATAGAAAAAGTTGCAGAGCAGGACTCGTATTGTTCCGGGTCTTGTTTGGACTTTGTGTGTACTAAAAAGCAGATGCAGTCCATTCGGACGATCAGGGACGTACTCCCTCCATCCCAAAATGTAAAATCATTTTTGACACTTGCTCTGTTGTATCGGCAGTTTATAGTTAGTAAAAGAGCACACAGATCACCTATATGCAGGTGACTGAGCGGTGGGTCCCGAGAAAGATCCGGCGTTAGAAAAGGAAAGAATCTGGAGAAGATGGTCTCAAGGAAATTACCTGGCGAAGCACTGCTGTAATACGGTGGTAGCAGAAGAATCACACAAATCACCTCCCTGTATGCAGTTGATTCAGTGTAAGTCACAAGAAAAGAAACTGGATCAAACTAGAACAAACTGGATCAAACTAGAACAAACTGGATCTGGAGAACATCCTGGGTCAAAGAAAAGAAAGAATCTGCAGAAGCTCGTCTCAAGGCGAGGAAATTACCTGGCGAATCCCGGTAATATAAGTCGACGCGAGCTTGAGTTGAGTTCAGGTATAATCTGGACGGCGGAGAAGGAGACTCAAGCTTGAGATATGAGAGGTGAGGAGGATATCTTCAACCTGTAAAAGGGAGACCACAGAACCGTGTCCAGTTTTGTCCAGTTTCCCCATTCTCCATTATTTACTCATGGACACATGGGTGTGTAATATTCTACTAGTGTGCTTGATAAAGTATCCGTATACATGCCCTTTGTGTACCTACCATGTGTCTGTTAGGGTGTCCAAAGGCACTTCCATTTCACAGAGCAAATGTTGTTGAATACTACTCCCTCCGTTCTTAAATATTTGTCTTTTTAGAGATTTTAATAAGTGACTATATACGAAGTAAAATGAGTGAATCCACACTCTAAAATATGTCTATATACATCCGTATGTGATAGTCCATTTGAAATCTCTAAAAAGACAAATATTTAGGAACGGAGAGAGTATTTCATTAGAACGCAAATATATGTGCGGTTGACGTCGTTCATCTACTTTTTTTTTTCAAAATGGAGGTAAAAGATTTGCCTCATCAATCAATTTAGGAGAGAAGAGAGAGTTTTTAGAAGTGCCCCTTATTACACAACATGAATGATTACCGGCGTAAAATTATCATCCCTAGTTGTTAGGCACCCATTGTGATCCACATGTTTGCGTCCGACATGATGTAGTTTAGCAAGATTGGCGGTGGGACGTTTTTGTTGCGGAATACCCTAGCATTTCTCTCATTCCACACGGTCCAAGAGACCAACATGGTTAGTGATGACATTGCCTAACTATTGGGAGTGCTCGTGTCGGCCCACCGTGTGATGACGGTTTCCTCCAAGTGCTATCATGAAGTGTCCATGCCCCTAAGATGAAATTTATCGATGACCATCCTTCAAAGTCTAAGCACAAATCGACACTTGAAGAAGAGATGCGTCCCAGATTCTTGTTCTTCCTTGCAAAGAGTGCAAAGCCCACAATTTGACCAACCTCTCTTGGTTTTGCACGGGAGAAGAATATGCATCTCCTTTTTTGTGTGAGGGAAATAGGCATATCGCCTTGTTCTGGCTGATGCTTCAGTTTTAGTTTCCGTTTCTTATTTTGTCTAGCCTTCAGTGGAGGCAAGCTTGAGATGATTTACACAGTTTTTTTTTTCGAAAAGGGGGGTTCCCCGGTCTCTGCATCAGAAAGATGCATACGGCCATATTTATAAATAAACAAGTAGTTCAACAATGTCTTGTAAAGTGGTGCAGCAAAGGAAACTGGCTCACACAGAGCAAGCAAAATAAAACAAGGCCCAAAAGCCACAACCGGCTGGCATAATAGAGAGAGATAGGTAAACTAAGCGCCTATCCTATTACATGACCGCCATCCAAACCGGTTGAAGATATCCCGCGCTACCATCTTCCACCGGACAGATCCAGTAACCAAACGCGCCCTGGCCTCCGTCGGAGTGAGTAATGACCAAGTACGGATTAGCGCAGTAGCCCGGAATAGAACCTGCAAAAAATGAATAGTTGTTGTTCTGTTAAAAGCCAAGTCATTTCTGCAGTTCCAAATTGCCCATAACAATGCACATGCTCCTACACGAATTTGTCTAGCTGTTTCGGCCTCTATACCAACCAGCCACGTTCCAAACAACGACCTGACCGAATTCGGAGGAGTAATGTTAAAGGCAATCTGCACCGAGCGCCACAACACCCTCGCCATCGGGCACTCAAAGAAAAGATGCTTGATAGTTTCATCCCGATCACAGAAATTACACCTAGTAGATCCTGTCCAGTTGCGCTTAATCAAGTTATCCTTCGTTAGAACGACTTGTTTATGCACAAACCACATAAACACTTTGATTTTCAGAGGAACCTTAACTTTCCAAACGTATTTGGAACTAGGAATTACACTAGAATTGATGACATCAATGTACATCGACTTGACTGTGAATTCACCAGATTTAGTAAGCTTCCAACACAACTGATCAGACTGATGAGTAAGCTGAACCTCCATGAGTCTACTCACCAGATGAATCCAAGCCTCCCACCGGTCACCCACAAGCACCCTCCTAAATCGGATGTTAAGAGGAACAGATTGCAGACTCGTTGCAACCAGAGCATCACGTCGCTGCACAATGCGATAAAGCGCCGGGTACTGGAGTGCCAGTGGTGCATCACCTAGCCAGGTATCTTCCCAGAAACGAGTGTTATTGCCATCACCGACAACAAACTTTGTTCTGTTAAAGAGAGTAGCTTTGACCCTCATTAACCCCTTCCAGAAGGGTGAATCAATTGGTCGTACCATCACTTGCGACAAGGTTTTAGAGTGCAGATACTTGTTACGAAGAATCTGCGCCCAAGTTGCCTCAGTCTCGGCAGATAACTTATAAAGCCACTTACTTAGAAGGCATCTGTTCTTAACTTCAAGGTTCTCAACCCCAAGACCCCCTTGGTCTTTTGGTCGGCAGATGACATCCCATTTGGCTAGGAGGTACTTTCTCTTAGTTTCATCGCTCTGCCAGAAGAAACGAGACCGATAGAAGTCCAGCCTTTTCCTAACTCCAACTGGAACCTTAAAAAAGGATAAGAGAAACATAGGCAAACTCGTGAGCACCGAATTAATAAGAATCAACCGGCCTCCATACGACATAAGTTTGCCCTTCCAGCAGCTCAGTTTCTTCTCAAACCGATCCTCGATACACTTCCATTCGTTGTTAGTTAACTTATGATGGTGAATGGGAATACCAAGATAAGTAAACGGAAGAGTCCCCAGATCGCAACCAAACAGTTGCTTGTAAGCATCTTGTTCCTCTTTGGCTCTACCAAAACAGAACGATTCGCTTTTATTGAAGTTGATCTTCAGACCGGACAATTGCTCAAATAGGCACAATACCAACTTCATATTTCTCGCCTTTACCAAGTTGTGCTCCATAAAAATGATAGTATCATCGGTGTACTACAGAATGGACACACCACCATCGACAAGATGAGGCACCAAGCCACCTACTTGTCCTGCCTCCTTTGCCCTTCCTATCAAGATTGCCAACATATCAACAACAATGTTGAAAAGGATAGGAGAAATTGGATCACCTGGCCTCAGGCCCTTGTGTGTCTGGAAATAATGCCCTATATCGTCATTCACTTTAATTCCAACACTCCCTTTTTGCGTGAAAGATTCAACTTGGCGCCTCCAAGCTTCGTCAAAACCCTTCATACGTAAGGCTTGTTGTAAAAAGGGCCAGTTGGCTTTATCGTATGCTTTCTCGAAATCCACCTTAAAAACCACTCCATCCAGTTTTTTCGTGTGAATTTCATGGAGCGTTTCATGCAGGACCACCACGCCTTCAAGAATGTTCCTATCCGGCATAAAAGCAGATTGAGTAGGCTGCACCACAGTATGCGCAATCTGTGTGAGCCTATTCGTCCCGACCTTGGTAAAAATTTTGAAACTCACATTAAGAAGACAGATTGGCCTAAATTGCTCAATCCGCACTGCCTCTGTCTTCTTGGGAAGAAGAGTTATCGTCCCAAAATTCAGCTTGAAAAGGTGAAGCTGACCAGCGAAGAGATCATTGAACAAAGGCAATAGATCTCCTTTAATAATGTGCCAACATTTCTTGTAAAACTCGGCCGGGAAACCATCCGGTCCAGGAGCCTTATTATTCTTCATCTGGGAAATTGCCTCAAATACCTCTTTCTCAGAGAGGAGCAATTAAGATATCATTCTCAACAGCTGTCAGTTGAGGCACATCCTCAATCCTAGACTCATCCAGCGACACCCAGTTCTCCTCTGGAGGTCCAAACAACTGCTTGTAATACTCAGTGATATACAACTTTAAATTTTCCTGACCCAGAATCGTTCCCTCATCTTGCTCAAGCTGAAAGATTCTCTTCTTTCTATGCTTGCCATTAGCAATCATGTGAAAAAATTGTGTGTTCGCGTCCCCCCGGACGACCCGACGGACCTTGGCCCGAAGCGCCCACTTTAATTCTTCCTCACGAAGAAGCTCTTTCAGCCTCATTTCCGCGTCGAGCTTCGCTTGAAGCTCCGAGGCTGGCAGGATCATGTTCTCAG